GTCATGCTTTTGCTACTTTAAATTTTGTTTTGTCCAACATAAGCAAATATTTATGAATATGTGTTAGAAGCAGATTTTGACTTTGTGAACAGAATTTAAAATTTGTGGGGCTGGGGATTTAGCTCAGCGGCAAAGCGCCTGCCTGGCAAGTGCAAGGTCGTAAGTTCGGTTCCCGGTACCGGAGAAAAAAAAAAAAAAAAAAAAAAAAAAAAAAAAAATTTGTTAACGGCTGTATTTGATATATTCTTAGTTAAAAATTCCTAGTTAAACTTAATATGGATTTGATATATTCTTTGATATATCAAATTTGATATATTCTTATTTTCTTTGGTTCTTTGAAGTAACCATTTAAAAATTGAAAACCTCAGGACTGTTGGATGCCTCAAGATGCTGCTAGGAGACATGACACTCAAAATCATCTTCCACACAACTCTGGCGTGGCAGGCTTGTTTCTGCAAGTGGTTCTTTGTTCCTTCCAGAGTAGCCTGGGTTCTGCACTGCATCTCCTTGAGCTCTAAGATCACACATTTCCATGGGAAGCCTGGGTGGCCATGGCTTAAAGAATAGAACAGCTCAGTGTGGCCAGCACACATTCCAGCTTCCTGGCTGCCCTTCCTCCATCTCCACTGCAGCCACAGCAGACCCCATGTGGCTTAGAATTTTCTTTTTTCTTTGCCTGGTATAAGGGGAAGGAAAAATCAGACTTTTTCCTACACATCCAACACAGCACTTCTCCTCTGGTACTAAAATAGGGAAGGGTCTGGATCTAGGTATTTATTTCCCAGGGTCGGCTGCCTATCTGTTATCTCTTGGTGTGTGTCCTCACACACCAAGCAGTTCTCCAGCTGACACAGCTGGTGTCATATAACTCAGTTCTATTCTGACACTATCCACCTGAAGTTAGTATCAGATCCCACAGGTTAAGGACTTGGTCCTGTAAGAATTCTAATACCCGCTACCTCCCACACACACTTCAGTCATCAGTTGTGTGTAGTATAAGATGTCACCTATGCTTCTGACCAATTAGTTATAAATCAGTTCCCACAACACCCACCTCAAATTTTATTAATTTACTAGAATGGCTTGTAGAACCCAAGAAACACTTACTTTTACTGGTTTATTATAAGGGGTATTATAAAGGACACAAGTGACCAACCAGATGAAGAGATACATAGGGCAGGGTATGGAGAGGGGACACAGAGCTTCTGTACCCACTGCTCATGCTCCAGATGGGCACTTCTCTAGGCAACTACACATGTTCAACCATCTGAAAGCCCTGCAAACCCTGTCCTTTTGGTTTTGGTGGAGGTCTGGTAAGTAACTGTGCTACTCAACCATGACCCTTGTCCTCTCCCGAGAGGTGGAAAGAGGGATGGTGGCTGGAGGCTAAAGCTCTGAGTCACATCTAGCTTTTTAATAAAAAGAGGCTATCTTTCTTCCAGTGAACATGTTTGGTGCCTTTGTCAAAGATAAGGTAGCTGAATGTGTTTGAAGTTGTGTCTGCATCTTCTATTCTAGTCCACTGATCCTCAGGTCTGTTTTTTTGTGTTTGTTTTTGGGTTTTTTGGCGGGGGGTGGTTTGCCAGTATCATGCTGATTTTATCACAGTAGCTTTGTAGTATAATTTCAGGTTAGGGATTGTGATACCCCCTGCCTTGCCTTCGTTGCCCAGAACTGCTTTTGCTGTTCTAGGTCTCTTCTGGTTCCAAATGAATTTTAGGAATGTTTTCTCTAGTTCTGCAAGGTATGCTAAGGATATTTTGATTGGGATTGCACTAAGTCTGTATAACAGTTTTGGGAGTAGGGCCAATTTCACTATAACATAGTTGCATTTTGGCTTTCAAATTTGATGTACCAAAAATTTTCTATGAAATCAAATTTAGAATAGATTGCTTATAAGAGAATCCTATTTCTGAGTATCACTCTCCCCTAATATAATTAAAATATGGTTTAAAATTTATTTACACGTAATTTTGGTTATTTCAAAAATACAGTCCTGAGTTAAAAACATTTTCTTAATTTTAATACTAAATTCCAATAGTAGTTGGAAAAGTAGTTCGTATTTCTCATAAGGAATTCAAAAGTATGGAAATGCATAGTAGAAAAGGTGCTTTTCTTCCCTTGTTACCAATGTAGTGTACATATTCTTATATACTTTTGTGTATCTATAAATATGTACAACTTATAAAATATGTGCTTATATGTACATGTACATATTTTAAGAATAAATGGCTTCTGTTTTTAGGTTGAAAAATCTGCCTCTAATATTACCAGGTATAGTACTTTTTTATAATATTTTGATGATTTTGTTAGAAAGTAGAAGTTCATTTGATGGTATTTTCAAATATGAATTTGGTGTAACATCCTTACTGACTGAAAAACAAAAACTAGTACTTACTGGCCTAACTGTGGTATTACGATTCTATATGAATAGGAATTCTCTGGTGCCAGGAGATAGAAGAAGGCCCAGTTAAAGGGCCTGATGTTTTTATTTTTTATCATTTGAGACAAGGTTTCACTATGTAGTCGAGACTGGCCTTGAAGTTACTACGTAGCCTCAAAGTTGTGATCCTCCTGTCTCCCTAGTGCTGACATCAAAGGCATGCACCCATGCCCAGCTGTGGCTGATTATTCTAGTAAGATATGGATTGGCAGCTGGAGGTGAAGATTCTGATTCTGATCTTGTTGGGAGCATTTATTGTTGTAACAAATGCAAGTTCTTAGGGGAGAGCTTGAGAGGAATGATACTCTGGGTCCTGTCATCCCTGGGAACTTGTGCAGAACTGAGCCAGCTGGCTCTGAAGGAGAGGGAGTGGGGCGGACCTGTGGTGAGCAGAGCAGAACACGTCTGCTCTGTCCAGAGCCAAGGCTGCCTTGTGGACTCCATGGGAGTGTTCAGCCAGCAAGACTTCGGATCGTAAACCCGAGAAAATGGGATTTGAGCTTTCTTTGAAGATCAGTCTGAGAAAGTTGAACTGTTTGATAAACAAGTAGGAGCTCAAGGTCTTAAGTAAGCAAATTGAAATGAGATTCTTGTTTTCTAGAATAATTGTTCTAGTAGCTAAGTTTAGTGCAGTTGGGAAGCCAGACAAGAAGCTGTTGGTGGGGAAGTAGCAGACATCAAAGAGAGGGCAAGTGTATGCAAGTGTTTAGGTACACGTCTGCAGAAATGTTTGGTGTGTTTACTCTGAAATTACAGAAGGAACACATGTGGTGAAGACATTCTGGCTGTCAGCAACTAGAAGATGCTTTGTATTTCCTTTTTGCTTTTTGTGATGTCATTGTGGTTGGATGGATTTAGAGGGAAGGGGCACAAAGGGATACAGCCTCACAATAAATTTGAGAAAGAACACAACTGAATATCTCCTTTAATGCTTAGCATACACTTGAGTGGCAACCACCTGTCCCATTCCTGACCTGACCTTTTAGTGTGCTGAACTACTGTACAGTCATGTTGAGAAATGGCAAGAGTACCAGTTGGGGATAAATGGCACAGAGTTAACGTATGACCTAGATGAGTCCAGCAAGCCCTCCAGTTCTCCTCATGGTGATAGGTTAGGGTCCCAGACTGTCGCCGTGCTCTGGGGAAAGTACAGCCCAGTGTTGTATCCACTTCCACCAGGGTTAGAGTCCCTCTCAGCAGTGGTAGGAACACATCCTCTGGACATAGTGATTGTCTCTAGTGGTTCTCTTTTCCCTGATCCTTGGCTTTTTTAATATATTCTGTTTCAACTTCTCAGCTATTTCTTCATTTCTGGGAGGTTGTCACCCTTTAGTTTTGGTTCGTTTCTTTTCCCAGGATAGATTCAGGCTAATTTAATCTTGAAACAATTTGTTTTAGTTCCTTCTAGCCCACTTCATGGTTGAAGCGAATCAAGCACTTCATGCCATGTTGCATAAAGAATGAGGCCTGCCTGGGTTGTGAGCAGAGGGAACCCATTGTACCACCAAGGCCATTGCCATTGCTCTCTTCCTGCCAAGGCCCAAGGTGAACAGTCACTCCATGGCTTCTGAGATTGGTGTGGCTGCTTGCAATTCTGGGACCAAGAATTGGCTGCGGATCCCTTTCTCAGTTGTTCTCACATTCAAACATGAGCAGTGGAGTGGATCCTAAAGGAACCTCTTTGAACTCCCCAGCTCGTGGTCCTGTGCCTGGTCCAGGGTCACCTGGCTAGAGCACAGGTTAGAGGGCTTTAATTGGTTCAAGTTATGTGTAACTTAGGAAAGTCTAAAAGGCATCAGAGTGTTTTCTGTCCTTTTCTCAGGCACCAGTACAAACTTGCTGTGATCCACCGTACTTTTAAACCAAGTCTGTGATCACATCGGTGTGGCCCCAGTCCCCTTTTTCCTTTAGACTTATCTGTCAGTGCCCAGAAAGAGTGCTAGCTATCCTCTGCAAGGATGTTTTATTTTAGCTCCAACAACGGAGAAAATATTTTCACCATTTTTAAACTACAGTAGATTTCTTTCTGCTTTCCAAACATGTTTCCAGTATATGGGCACTACCCATGGGGAACTGTAGTTACAGCAGGCACTTGGGTAGGGTAGGAGTCCCCGTGGAGAAGATCTTCATATAGAAAAGTGCTGACTGCTCAACTGAAAGAGGAGAATGAAAGGAGGATGGATGGGGTGAAGGCTCTGTGTCTGGATTTCCAGAGAATATGGAACGCCATGCTAATGATGGTTGTTTTTAAAGTGAAGAGGTCAGTTTTGTGCATTCTGTGATGTTCCAGATCCTAGGGACATTCCTTGCACAGTCAGAAACAGAAGGCTTTGGTGGCCTTTGCTGCTCTTGGCTGTTCTGCCTGTAGACTCTGAAAATGTGACGAGCAAGGCATGGCATTTCTTCTACCTCGGAGACTGTGCTCCAGAGTGTTAGAGCACAGTGTTGTAAAGAAGTGCTATGTAAATGTAGGGCACACAGTAAGAATATGAAATAATCCGTACAACGTTTATCATTGTTGAGAGTCAGTAAGTCATGTGTGTGTTTTTTCCCTTAGGTTCATTTTCCAGACACTGAAAGAGCAGAATGGCTAAATAAGGTAAGATTAGAATATTCCAAATACCAGAGATCAGTGGGAATTAGAGGATGAGAGACCATCTTTCCATATTTGGGAGTTGGGAAGCTGGCAGTGTTGAAGCCCAGTCAGGCTGGCTTCTACTTCCCAGAGAGTGCAGTCATAAGCCTGTGCTGTGTTCTTTCTGAAGAGAGCTGGGTGGTTGACATTGCTGTGTAGCCTTGTATCTTCCTGAGAAGAGCCACTCAAATCTATTTTATAGCAGTCACAAGTGGAAATTCTGGAAACATTATAAAGAGGGAAATAACTCCCTCAAAGCCTAACAGTCTCTATAGTATTTTTTTAAAATACTTTTTGGATCAGTACAGCTTGAACTAGATCTCTTTTACCTTGTACTTTGTGCATCACTGTAGCTATGTAGTGAATACTAACCTAGATAAAGATCACCCTGCAGACCTGGAAGATAGTAGTCTGACTGTGAAAAAATTCATGGGGCTGGAGATGTCACTTAGTGGTAGAGTGCATGTTTAGTGTGTGCAAAGGCCCAGCTGGGTTCCATCCTCAGCGCTGGAAAAAAAATTAATGGATAATTACTGAGCTTTGTAAAGATGTAAGGTTACCAGCAGTGAGCTGAAACCATAGGATGTCTAGTGACTGTTAGTTCTGGTAACATGCTTAAACAGAATATTTGCTTAAAATAACTAATTCTTGTAATAGTATATTGGTTAATCATTAACAAATAAGTTGTAATATCTTTCTAAGGTTCACATTGAACTTTGAAGTGTGGATTTCCCATATTCTTATTCATTTCCCTCTTACATTTTTCAAAACCAAATTCTGGTAAACTACATGATTGTAATTTTCACAGTGACTCAGGTATATTATGCATTTTAACATTTGTTTACCATGGATTTCTTTTTTTTCCAGACTGTAAAGCACATGTGGCCTTTTATTTGCCAATTTATAGAGAAGCTGTTTCGAGAGACCATAGAGCCAGCTGTGCGGGGAGCAAACACCCACCTCAGTACCTTCAGCTTCACAAAGGTGGATATGGGCCAGCAGGTGAGTTCTGCCTTCTGTGTCCTTCCTTGTGCCTAGGACTCCTTGCGCAGTAGGATTGCTGTCAGAACATAAAAACACTTTAGACCACATGTTCTAGAGAAGACCACTCACCATGTGTCTGACTCATGTGTGTGTGGTATGTACGGTACGGCTCAGGATCTGCCCTGGTATGAAGCCTTTTCATGCTTCTAGGTCCTAGGTTGCCTCCTTTTCATTGAGTTGTTCTGGCCAGCTCAGTCTTCATGGCCTGGCTTCTTTTTTAACATTTCCTGAACCTTCTGTAATGAGCCCTGCTACCCCGTATTCTTCCAATAGAATGGTGTTTTTCAGTCTGTCCTGCTAAAGAGTTTGAGATGGGACTTCACACTAAAGGTATAATAGTTGACAAGAGCTTAATATGTTTACCTCTCCAGATGATAAAAATAGCCAAGGACCCTGATGCTGGGTTGTAGGATCATGTAGGTGAAAGATTTTGTTAATGAAATCATATCATATATAAAAAGGAAGCTGTGGGTTGCTAATATCACTTGTAATGAAAGCCTCGAGATTATACTTATACTACTTGATCATAGTGAGTTTCCTTTTTTTAATTTTTTAAGTCAGTTAGCAACAGTTCAAGGTAATACTGTGTTATGACTAATAAAAACTCAGTCTGTACCCATTTCATACAACCAGGGCACAGACAGCACATAGGCATCCCATTCAGTATACCGTAGGTGATACTGTGCCCAAGGAAATGTCTGGTAGTGGTGGTGGTGTCACCTGCTAACCACATCAAGTGTCCATCCCATGCTCTCCAGGCTGTGGGCCACCTTCCCCTGTCCATGCTGATTTCCTCCATGGAGAGAATGCACTGTCTCTTCTGTAGTTATTCTAGGTACAGTCTCCCCAGCACAGACTCATGTGTGCCCTTCCTAAGATGTGCTGGCAGTTCTCTTAGCTTAGAGGCCTCCAAATAAGGGCAGGCAAAGACTGTGCTGCTTCATCTCAGTGTTAGTGCTCACATGTAATGTCAAGAACTTTCTTCATGGGAAATAGATATCATAGTTATTTGTATCTTATGGGTGAGGAAATTGAGAAGAAGGGTTAGGGTTAGTGCTGAAAGTTAAACAGCAAGTGTGTTGTGAAAGCAGAATTTTAATTCCTATAGTCTGATGCTAAAACTTATACTTATCACCTTTATGCAGTGTTACACGGTTGGTTGGTTGGTTGGTTGGTTGGCTGGTTGATTGGTTTGTTTTTTTAACATCCCTGTATTTTAAAATAAGCTACTTCTATTTCAGCCCCTTAGGGTCAATGGTGTTAAGGTATATACTGAAAATGTAGACAAAAGGCAAATTATTCTGGACCTTCAGGTTAGGTAAGTTTTTTATTTCTGTTATATTTGTATCATGTTTAGTGACATATAGTGCCACTTAGCTATACCCATAAGGTAAAGGATATAATAAGCATGCTTCTTACCTGCTGGCTATTGTAATTTGACTAAATTCTTCCTGGAGATCCAGATTTTATACATCTTCTGGCTTTCAGTTCATAATAGCCTAGATAACTGCCATTGAGAAAATATGTTCAGTAAAAGAAATTGAATACAAGAAAACTACAGACCAGTCATTATCTGACTATTGATGCAAGAATCTTCAGTAAAATACTAGCAAACCTAATTCAGCAGTATATTAAAAGGATTATACATCACTACCAAGTAGGGTTTATCTCCAGAGTGCAAGAATGATTCAGCATTTGAAAATCAGTCAGTGTCATATACCACATTAACAGACGAAAAGGGAAAAAAAGCTTACATGATTATCTCAGTTGATACAGAAAAGGCGTTTAACAAAGTTCAATATTTTTTCATAATAAAAGCACTAAAAAATCTAAGAAGGAAACGCACCTCAATATAGTAAAGGCTACATTTGAAAAATCCCATAACACATATTGTACCAATAGTGAGCATTGAAATTCTTTCCTCTAAAATCAGGAACAAGACCAGGTATGTCTCTTTTTACCATATCTATCTCCTCATCACAGCCAAAGCAATTAGACAAGAAAAGGAAATAAAATGCATCCAAATTGGAAAGGAAGGAGTAGAATCATCTCTGTTCATAGATGACATGATCTTATATGTCATAAATAAAGATCCTGCATACATAAACTGTTAGAACTAATGAATTCAGCAAAAGAACTGGATGCAGAGTTAATGCACAAAAGTCAGTTGCATGTCTATGCATTAATAATGAAAATCCAAAAGAGTAACAAAAAAATTATTTCACAGTAGAATCAAAAAGAATAAAATAGTTAAGAATAGACAACTCAGGAGATGAAAGACTTGTGCAAAGAAAACTGTTTTAAAAATTGCTCAAAGAAGTTAACAGAGGGGCTGGGGATTTAGCTCAGCGGCAAAGCGCCTGCCTGGCAAGCGCAAGGTCGTGAGTTCGGTTCCCGGTACCGGAGAAAAACCAAAAAAAATTTAAAAAAAAGTTAACAGAACATGTAAATGGAATGATACTCTGTATTTATAAGTTGAAAACTTAATTCTGTTGAAATGTAAATAATACCCAAAGCAGTCTACAGACTTAATATAATCTCTATAATCATAAATCTTTTAAGTCATTAATATTCAGAACATACAGAGAACTCTTCAAACTAAACAACAGCAAAATCCTCTTCAAAATCAAGCAAAGGCATTGAATAGACATTTTCCTGGGAAGCTATATAAAGGGCAAATAAGCACATGAAAAGATACTCAGCACCCTACTAATTAGGAAAATGAAAATTAAAGCGACAGGGAGATACTACCTCACATTCCTTAGGATGGCTACTATTTTTAAAAAATCAAGTGCTGCTGAGGATGTGAAGAAACCGAAGGAGCTGGAACACTTGGGCACTGTTGACAGGAAGCTGCTATGGAAAGTTTGGCGCTTCTTCAAAACCTTAAAAATACAGTTACCATGTTGTTTTAGTCCATTTTCTGTCTCTGCAGCAGAGGGTCTAAGACGGTATGATTTATGTAGAACAGAGCTTTATTTTGGCTCTGGCCTAATGGCTGGGAAATTTAAAATTGGGCCTCATGCTGCTTCATGTCATGCGGGGAAAGTGGAAGAGCAACTGCAGGTGTGTGCAGAGGAGCGTGAATATGAAGGATGGGCTTGCTTCCTAACTGTCTGCTCTCATAGTCCCTCAGGAGCAAGAACCTACATTCATGAGAAGGGCAGTAACCCATCAATCCCATGACCTTCTTACTAGGTTCCTCCTCCCAGCACCACTGCACTGAGAGATGAAGTTCTAACACATGAACTTTTGGAGGACACACTCAGACCATGTCACATGTGTACCTGAAAGAATTGAAGCAAGGTCTTGAGCAATATTTGCACACCCATATCAGTATCGCTGCAGTAATGTGCTATATAACATTTCTGTCAGTGATAGACTGCATGCGTGCAGTGGTCACAGCCCTCACTGATGGATTAGTGCCCTTCTCATCCACATGGGCTCTTGCTCCTGAGGGACTGTGAGAGCACACAGGAAGCAAGCCCATCCCTCATATTCGTGCTCTGTGCACACACCTGTGCTTTCCACCATGAGTCAAATAAGCAAAACACTGAAAGACCGTTACCATGTGACTCAACTTAATGATACACCTAAAGTCATCAGACCCATGCAGACAGAAGGTAGAGTGGTGAGTACCCACATCTGAGGGGGAAGGAAGAGGAGGTAGTGTTTCATGGGTGCAGAGCAGTTTGCAAGATGAGAAAATTCTAGCGGCAAATGGTGGCAATGATTGCACAACAGTTTAATACCACTGATGTACATTCTTAAGATGGTTAAAATGTAAATTTTATGTTATGTATTTTAACACAATTTTTTTAAATTAGGGGAAAAAAGAGGTTGAAGGTGTGCTTAGCATAGCAGAGTTCGTTTTCTGTCCTCATTCCTGTTTGCGCTTACTCATGCCTTCCTGCGTTCTGCATGAGGCCTGTTAGTCAGTGTTCTGTCACTGAGACAGAAAATAGTACCTGTGATAAACACTCCTGCAGGAGAAAAGGTTTATTTTGACTCACAGTTTCAGAAGTCTCAGTCCCTGGTCGCTTGGCCCCCTTGTCTTTGGACCTGTGGCAAGGCAGTACCTCATGCCAGCAGCATGTGGAGGAGGAAACTGCTCACTTGTGGCACTCAGGAAGCAGGGAGAAGAAGGAAAGGGCTGGGCTGCCAACCTCCCCTTCAAGGGCACCAGGCCAGTGACCAAACTTACTGCCACTAAGCCCTGCATCGTAAACGTTGCTAGGAACCAAGCCACATTGTTTTCATCAGTGAGATAAAAGAAGCAGCTCCCTTGTGTCTTAGGTCAAGCCATGTGCTGGAAGACCTGTCCACAAAGCTTATGGTAAATTCATTAGGAGTGAAGCTGTTCTATTCTTCGGTGCCCCTTGCACCAAATGAGTATTCCATATACATTGTCTAAATAAATATTTAAACAAACCAGTTAATTGATGTCCTTTTTGAAGATGCAGTCATAGCAACATTTGCATTCTGTGTGTGTGTGTGTTTGTGTGTGTGTGTGGGTGTGTGTGTATTCCAGAGAAGGACCTTTACTACACTAGCTGTGGAGATGGGGAAGGAGAAATTTAAAAGAATTAAAAATAAAGTGACCGAGTTTTAGGTGAAGAAAAGGAAGGTTCTGTAACAGGTCATTGGCAAGTTTATCATTAGGTAGAGAATAATTCTCAGTGAGAAGAGTCTATAGGTTTGGCTTTGACGCTAGGACAATAAATACTGGAAGAGTTTCATCCCAGATCCCTTTTGTTACTGTTCTGCTCATCTGCCTGGACACCCCCTGACCAGCGTTCATCAAACTCCACAAACGTGCCAGGCAGGAGTCTGATGCCCTGCTTCCAGGAGCCAAGGGTAAGGGTCAAACATGCACCATCCCATGGAAATCTATGTGGCATCTCATGTTTACATTAAATAGATGCAAACTTTGCATTCCGTGTCATGGTAGATTCATGTTCATCTCCTGTTAATGTTTGAAATGACTTAATCCTTGTGTAAAGCGGAGACCCTGAACAGACATGTTTTTTCTAACCTTTGACGTCAGAGAGCCTTGGAGCACCTCAGGAAGAATTTTGATGATTGAGGAGAAAGGATATGAAATTTACTGGTAGTGAAAGGAAATATAAGCGTCTTTATGTTTCAAATAAACATGGGATTCGTAACTACCTTACATCAAAATTTAAAGTTGTACATTGTTACTTACGTTTCCCTTTGAAAAATGGACATTTATATTCAGTTGATAAGATTTTTTTGTGTGTAGTATATATACATACATATGTATGTATTTCCATACATGTGCACGCGCACACACATGCACAGAGTAGTTTTCACAGGTGTTGTGAGGATTGTCTGAACCTGTGAATTGGATCAGCAAAATAGTATGACGTGGGCCACTTTTCTCAATTTTTGCTACACTCTAATTTTGGTTGGTATCATTTTATTCAGATTATATGCCTTGCAGTTCTGTAGCAACAAAAAGAATAATTAATTTCACTCACTTTATGTAATGCAAAATTTTTTCTTTGCCAGTTTTGTAGGAAATTGTGAGATTGATCTGGAGATCAAACGTTATTTTTGTAGAGCCGGCGTGAAAAGTATACAGGTAAGGTTTTTAAAATATCATTTTTGAAGCTCTCTATAGTTGAAAAGAAAATTACAGAATTTTTATTAGCTTAGAAAATTTTAAAACTACATTATTATTTGTGGTCATAGTGGAAGATAGATGAAATCAGATGTTTGAAAATCGCTAAGCAGCCCTGTAGTGCTGTGTTCTCTTACATGTTTTGGCTTCCTGTTTGAGTTTAGATCCATGGGACGATGCGGGTGATTCTGGAGCCCCTGATTGGAGACATGCCTTTAGTTGGAGCTTTGTCCATCTTCTTCCTTAGGAAACCAGTAAGTCAACATTTATGTCACATTTATCTGCTCTTGCTGACAAGAATGTGGACACAGTAAAGTGGAGAAACAAAATTGTATCCTTAACTCACTTTTTTCTCCTTCTCATTGATGAATCCTCTCAGTTTCTCGTACTTCTTTATTCCTTCACTGAGAGCTTCATATCTCTCTCTCTCTCTCTCTCTCTCTCTCTCTCTCTCTGAGAAACAGTCTTACTACGTAGTTTAATCTGGCCTTAATTTGCAGGGATCCTCCTGGCTTAGCCTCCTAAGTGCTGGGATTATAAGCGTGCAGCACCACACCCAGCTTCATCTCTTAATAAACAGTGTTCTTTTATGATTATAAAAAGTTTGTTGTGGGCTCAGGATATAATTCAGTGGTAGAGTGTGTGCCTAGCATGCAGAAGGCCCTGAGTTCAATCACCAGTACCACAAAAAAAAAGAAAAAAATTATTGTAGAAAATTAGAAAACGCAGGCTTTTTAAAAAGGAGTTAAGATGCAGCTAAATTTCATTCAGCACCAATCACTGATAAAGATTTGCATATTTAATCCTCAAATCTCTGAAGCTAAATAGTGTTTCCTTGTACTGATCAGAACCTGAGGCTGAGTCTTTCCTGTCCAGACACACAGCGAGGAAGTACTGGAGCCTGCACAAAGCCCCAGAGTAGTCTGACACAGAGCTTACGCTCCCGAGCACGGTGCAGTGATGTCCCCCAGCTGGGCTTCTCTGACTCCTCCTGAGATAAGACTGCCAGTGTTGGGGTACATGTCCTTCTCTTTCTGAGGGGTATGTTTGAGGTACTGCACATAGAGTCTTGTGGGTTTTCTTCTCCTTGTTTTTTGTAATATTGAGGATTGAAACCAGGACCTTCATGTCAAACTGCACTTTTTGAAATTTTTTTCTTTGAGATAGGGTCTTGCTAAGTTGCCCAGGCTGGGCTCAAACTTTCGGTCCTCCTGCCTCTCAGTCTCCCAGTGTGCTGAGAGATGCCAGCCGGGACACTCCTAACACTTTAAAGAAAGTTCATCCTGCCATCTCCCAGAATAAAACAATTCAAATCTTTTAATCTTCTCCAAAACTTAGCGATGCTCTTCTGTAGTTTGGGTCTTCATCAGATAAATGTACTTTTCAAATAATGTAAGAGTGTTAACTTCCCAATGAAATTTAATGCCAGAAAAAAAAGAATGAGGCTGAAAAGTTCAGAATCATTCTTTTCCTTATATGGTGGGTAAAGTCTTGGAACACGCTTTAGAAGAAAGGCAGTTTTTTCAGCTACTTTCAACCGGAAAATATGAGAACAGATTTACCCCTAGCTGCCAAATTGTACTTCCTCACCCTGTTGGAAAATATAGTTTAGAAGGGCTGGGGATTTAGCTCAGTGGCACAGCGCCTGCCTGGCAAGCGTGACGTCGTGAGTTTGATTCCCCGTACTGGGGGGGGGGGATATATATCTATATAGATATATATTTATATAGATATATAAATATATATATAGCTTAGAAACTTTCTTTTATTATTATTATTATTTTTTACCAGTTTTGCAGATTCAGAAGGATAGTGCCAGATCCCATACAAAACCAAAAACATTTATACATTTTTCTGCTTGCTGGTTTTAGTTTTTGTTCTGTTTTTGGGGGTTGGGGACACAGGCCCTTTGCACTGAGCTACATCCCTATCCCCTCCCCCCCTTTTTAAAATTTATTTTGACACAGGGTCTCACTAAGCTGCCGGGCTGGGCTCAGACTTGCAACCCTCCTGCTTCACCATGCCAGAGTGCTTGGGTTCCAGGTGGACACAGCTGTGCCCAGTGACTTAAACTTAGTTCTGATGACGTAGTACTTGTTGTGGGGGGACTGAAACCCCCTCCCACAACCACTGAAAGGTGCTCTTTCAATTTTCCATACCCTAAATAAAAACCAAAAATCCTGGTGTTTTAAAGCATAAGGAAACCATTCTGGGGGTTTACAGCTATCCCACATCTGTCAAATCAAGAGTCCTGGTGGAAAACCCACTGAGAATAGTGGAGCTGTCAGTTTGTACTTTTCTTCTTTCTTTTTTTTTTTTGCAGTACTGGGGATCGAACTCAGAACCTTGCACTTGCCAGGCAGGCGCTTGTGCCACTGAGCTATATCCCTAGCCCCAGTTTGTATTTTTCACGGAGTTTGCAGGTGAACCTTACCCTGAACAGCATGGTTTTCATGAAATACGTGGGTGCATTTGTTGCTCTGGCAAAACTGGGCCTCTTTTTCTAACTGTGGACCTCCCTACAGGTTCTGTTTCTCAGAGGAGCCGCCACAGCTCAGAGGTGACTTGCAGTGCTTGGGAACACATGTCCCCCTCGCTCATTTCCTGAAATAGGGCTGTCACTCATCCAGAGGCCCTGGCTCCCAGTGTCCCCTAGGAGTCTTTGGGAAGCCCTGCAGGCGCAGCTAATTTTAGTTGCTTTTCCTTTCCAAGGCAGCAGGCTTTCAAAGCACCGCCTGTTGGGCGCTTCCTGCCATTCTTGCCTGGTGTCCTTGTGCAGATTTTTCAGACTGAGCTTTAACTCTCACTCGCACACTTGTGCTGTCTTTTCAGGCACACATTGTCACACTTTCTCACACACTTCTGTCACCTGATCTTTTCCTCACACTTTCTCCACGTCCGTCCTCATACTCTAACTCACTGTCCCGCACTTACTACCACGTTCTCGTTCTCTCATTTTCTCACTCCTCTCACTCTCACGCTTGATTGCTTTTTCACACATGCTGTCTCACACACTCACACTTGTTCTCATAGGCACTTATCTCACACTCATGTTCTCACACTTACGCCTGTTCTCTCTCTCTTCGTACTCGTGGACCTCAGACTCCATCCCTACCCCGTAGCCCTCCCCTGTGTTCAGGGATAAGCTGTGTGTACTTTCAGTACCTTGAACCTGGGACCCTTTCCTGGGGCTTCCTTCTTAGACTCAGATCTCTTTTTTTCCAAAGCCCAGCTCAGTCCCACCCTGCCGTGAATCCTGCCTGCCTGTGATTATTTCCCTGAACTTCAGTAGCACCTAGGGGGATCCCAGTCATTTCAACAAGGCTATCCTGGGAAGAACAGCTCTGTGTATCATCTGTAAGCAACATCACCCACACCAGGGTGGCAAGGCTTGGAAGCAGGTGCAGGTTAGGACTGCCCCATCTGGAGAGGCTTTGGGGTGAGGAAGCAAGGCACACTGAAACTTGAGGCTTAGCACAGAACCACCTGAAAAGCCAAGCATGAGGATTTCCTTCTGTCATGTTACTGAGCTGCGAAGTTCAGCCTAGGTCTCAGTTTTCTTATCTGTGTTATTGTTGCTTTTTTTAGATAGGGTCTACATGTAGTTCAGGATGACCTTGGACTCACTGTGTAGCCCAGGTTGGCCTTGAATTCATGACGATCCTCTTACCTTCCCCTTCCAAGTGTGCCACCATGCACACTGACTTTTCTTATCTGTAAAACTCAAATAGTTGACTGATCTCAGTTTCTACTTTTTAGGCCAGCTTTATACGTAATTTTCAAAATGCGTTTCTGTTTGGCTTCCTTTTCTAAAAGATCTTTTTCTTTTCCCAGTAATGAGGACTAAACCCAGGGCAAGCACTAAACCCCAGAGCTGTATCCCCAGCTCTTGCTGCATTTTTTTTTAGCTTACTCCAACAAGTTAGCCTTTCATAACTGCAAAAAGTGGAAGTTTTTTCTACTTTTGATGCCTTTTATCTTTGGTTTTGATGGCAGAAAGACATCTTTAAGATTTCTAGATAGTCTTTAGGTAGTTTTGTTCTAGTTACCCACAAGAACAGCATTTTACTTGGCAGATTTTGATTACTTAAGATTGTAGCAGGGGCTGGGGATTTAGCTCAGCGGCAAAAAGCGCCTGCCTAGCAAGCGCAAGGTCGTGAGTTCGGTTCCCGGTACCGGAGAAAAACCTAAAAAAAAAAAAAAAAAAAGATTGTAGCAAAATGTTGATTTCAGTGCTCCATCACGCCTTTAAAATCTTCATGTAATGGCTGGCTGCATATCAGCTGATAAAGATGTTAACGTGTGGATTTTATTTTATTTATTTTAAGAAGTAGAGTCTCACTGTGTTGTCCAGATCAGCCCTAGGCTCAGGCAGTCCTCCTGCCTTGGCCTCCTGAGTAGCTGGAACTATAGGTGCATGCTGCCTACAGTGGTTTGTATGTAGCACATTTGTACATGATGTAGTGAGTGTCTTGCATCAGTGGTGGGCCTGCCTTCTGCACTTTGCTGCCCTGTCTTGCCAAGTAACAACAGTGCATTTGGGGCAAAGCTAATGAGTCAGTGTAATTAGACACAGTTTTCTCACCCTGGGTTACAATTTTAGTCAAACAAGGAAGATGTCAAAACTGGCAGCCTGGGGAATGGCTTTCAGACTGGTGTGAAAAGAAGTAATGCAGAATGGGTTGTAATATATATAGATATATTTTTTAATAGTACAGTTCACTTGGCTATTAAGGCTTCTCAGCTAAGCTAGCCCATCTCACCCAAATACTCAAAGGTCCAAAACTTCAGCTAAAATTAGCTTCATGCTGACTTCTGAAGTTAGTCCTTGTCTTACCCAAGCATTTAGTGGGCCCCAAACTACCACATAGCTGCTTGGAACCATAATAAAATCTCATAACACAAATCTCAAGCTTTCTGTGTTACATTTTTCTTAAAAGATAACTCCATTAACAAATACTATTGAAAGAATTGTTAATTTTGTTGTCCAAAACTTCCAGGATAAAAGTGCTCTACTTTAATGCCATTAGACTATACTGGTATTTTTTAGGTAACAAGATAGTGGCATAAAATATGACTAGGCCACATAGAATGAAAGTTTATTTATAAGAAAAGTCCTTTACTAAGTAGCATCTTTTGAATTTCATTCCCTTTAGGTGTTTTGTTTTCTTTTTAATCTATAATGATACAGTATCACCTAATCTTACTTACAAGCTTGTCTGTCTTCCTGCTGAATAGCATGTGTCTTTCCTGCAGTCTCATAGCTCTATAGATGGGGCAACCAGGACTTGGGCATCTCTGGTGAGAGTACCACTGGGTGCTTGCATTTAAACTGGAGTCAAATGCAGAAATCCACACTACATCTCTGATATGTTATTTCCTGAAGTAGCTCTGTGAAGAAGGTTCTGTGAAAGAACCTTTAGGCCCAGATGATAAAAGCCTGTCAGAATGCCCTCTTATATCTTAATGTCCAGATATACAGTTGTTCTTGTAAAAATCAGAATATTTTGTTTTGGCCAGAAGTTTGTGGCACACTTCTATAATCCAAGCCTTGAAAACCTGAGGCAGAAGGATTGCCAGAAGTTCTAGGCCATTCTGCAGCCACGTAGTGAGTTCCAAACCAGTCTGGATTAGTAGTGAGACCCTATCTCAAAAGAAGTTGTTTGATTTATGAAGACTACCTGTTCCTTTTTAATTTCTGAAGAGAGTCTCTGACCTAATGCTATGAGAGGAAAGAAAAATGAAAGTGAGCCCCACGTCACAGTGCTTTAAATTTACCCTTCTGGTTCCACCAGATGGTTTGGAATATCCCACTCATGCAGGTTTATGCCCCTAGTTACAGTGTCATCATTATTCTCCTAACAAACACTCTCTCCTGGTGATCAGAAAGATTGCTCCCACCCTATAATCAGCCGTTGTTAAAAAGCCCTGGTTCCTTCCTATGGAAGCTCTAACTGTCTTAATAAGGGTTTGGATGCCGTCTGGCTGGTTTGCCCTCATGTCTGGGCCTGATCCAGGGGTGTGTCCAGGGAGATGTGTGTAATACATAAAGTAATACATAAAGTCCAGATATAAAGTAAACTGCTTATTCTTTTCCTTCCTGCGGTTTTGTTTTGCTTTGCTTGTTTGGTTGGTTGGTTGTTTTTTTTGAGACAGGGTCTTCATATGTAGTCCAGACTGGGGTTGAACTCACTACATAGCCCAGGCTTGCCTCAAACTCATGGCAGTCCTCCTGCCCTAGCCTCCCAAGTGCTGGGATTGCAGGCATGCGCCACCACATCTGACCCTTCCTGAGATTTAGATCACATTCCTCTCAGGCTGAAAAACCTTAGTCGTGAAGGAATTTTTAAAAATCCATTGCTTTTTCTTACTTTCGGTCTATCTAATAGAATCTTGACCTTTGTAGTTCACACTTATATATAACCACTGAGTTCCAGGAGGGATTTGAACAATTTTGTTTCCCCAGCTCTACTGGCAACTGCAATCCTGCAGTTTCACTTTGCGTTTCTTCTGTGAGTATGAAACACAAGCAGTTGTATTAGGTGCAGTGTCTATTTTTGAAAAATAGGAAAAGCAGTCTTTTTTTTTTTTCTTTTTTGGAAAGCAGTATTTCTAATCAACATTTTTAACTGGTTGATGTTCACTTAGTAGAATATTAACTGTGTGGGAATTACTCTGAGATAAATCAGTACAGATGTGAAATAAATGGATGGAATATGTTCCACTCATAGGAAACTGGTGGTAAAGTATCATTTTTAAACTGTCATGTGGGCTAATTTTTAATATTTTAAAAAGATTTTTTTACTCCTGTTTGTAGCACATAAGTTTACATTCCTTGTGGGGACTTGGTATGTATACATAGCACATTGTAATTCCTTTTTTTAATCTCTTCCTCTCTCTCTCCCTCTCCGTCTCTTAATCCTCATCCCATTTGAGAAAGATCTGTCCTCTTACTTTCCTTTTTATTTTGCTTTTTGTTTGTATTTTAGGTGTCTAAAGTAAGTGAAACCATGCAGTATTTACTGTGTATCTGATTTATGTAACATTATGATCTCAAGAGACATCCTTTTTTTTTTTTTTTTAAAAATGACTTGTTTATCCTTCTTTATGACAGAGTAGTACTCTGTTGTATGTAAATACTGCATTGTCTATCCATTCATCTGTTAATGAATATAAAACATGGAGATTTAGCTATTAGGAGTTATGCCACTGTAAACATGAGTATGCATGTATCACTGTAATGTGATATCTTTAATTGTTTTGGGAAGATACCTAGTAGCAGAATAGCTGGGTTGAATGGAATTTCTGTGTTAATTTGAGGACTCTGCATACTGATTTCCTTAGTGCTTTTACTAGTTTATATTCTTTTTTGTTGTTGTTTTTTTTCTGGTACCAGGAATCAAATTCATGACCTTGGGCTTGCCAGGCAGGCGCTGTGCCGCTGAGCTAAATCCCCAGCCCCTACTAGTTTATATTCTACCAGTAATGGAGAAGGGTGCCTTTTTTCTCCACAGGCTTACTAGCATTTCTTATTATTTGATTCTGGGGTAAGATGGAATTTCATTGGTACCTGTTTTGATGAAGTTTGGGAAAAAGACGTTTTCACACACTTGTTGTGAGAATGTAAATTCATGTAGTGTTTTTGGAGGCCAGTTAGGTAACTATTTTCCAATGCTGAAAGTAAACATAGGGGCTGGGGATTTAGCTCAGCGGCAAAAGCGCCTGCCTGGCAAGCGCAAGGTCGTGAGTTCGGTTCCCGGTACCGGAGAAAAACCAAAAAAAAAAAGAAAGTAAACATAAATCTTGGCCTTAACACATTCCCACCAGCTTGAACCACTGGTGTCACATGCATGGCTGTCCCATCAGGTGGCATGGGACAGTCTTGTCAGGTGGTACGCGCCACCCAATGGGACAGTCATAATGGTACAAGCCACCGCAGCAAGGCGTACACATGGTATGGCCCTGTTGTGAGTGTGTTAAATCCAACCCTTTGAATGCTAGTCTGCATATGTATGCAAGAGCATGTATGTAAAACAGTGGCCACTGACGTCTTACAATGAGAGAGGCATTGCAGATATTCTAATTGTCTGTCCGTAAGTGGATAGGTAAATATATTATTGTATGTCTTTACTAGTGAAAACTATGGCATTATCAGAAAACAAAAGCAGAAGCAGGTCTTCATGTACCTGTAAGGAAAGAAAGCCTTGATATGTTTAAAAGAAAAAAAGGTGAAAGACAATATTATGTAACCACTCATTTTGTTTATGCAAAAAAAGAACCTGTGTGCATTTGAATTGACAACTGGAAACAGCTCAGATACTTATTTTTGCTTTTTTGAAAAACCAGCTTTTAGAGATTAACTGGACGGGACTGACCAATCTTCTGGACATCCCTGGATTGAAGTGAGTGTTGTGGGGTCCTGACACAGGCTGGGGGTGGGGTCGTGTCTTTTTAAGGGTCCTAAAAATAACATGAGAAAGGTGAGGGACAAGACTTGTTTCTACCAAGCAGAACTAGTGCTTCCCCCAGGCTCTCCTGAGAAACCAGCAAAGAGGCAAAGAAACCAGAGTTGAGTTTTTTCTTGCAGCCATGTATGAACTACTTCATCTAAATGAGCGGAAGTAGAGTGGTTTCAAGAGTGTCTTAGACCATTGTGTTCTACCTTTGCTTTTTATTCCTCCCAGAGTACCTTTCCAAGTGGTGGTATTTTAGAAAAGTATTGGCCTTTTTGTTCTGTAAATTAAAATTTTAATTTGGTTTTTGTTGTTTTCTCATAAACAGTATAGAAAACTTGAAAAATGAATCTTGTGTTTAAAACCTAACCCTATGTTCCTCCAAAGCTGCCACTGCTCCTTCCTTTGCCCACCCCTCTTTGAAAGGAGTGGTGTCAGAATGGAGCCCGAGTATGGAGTGTCTGTGCCATCCTTTCAGGAGCCCCTTCTCTATTCTGCACAACTTAATATCGAAAAACCAAGAAAAATGCCCACAACACTCACCTGACACAGTGAGGGGCACGTCCACACTGTGTCCCCGCCCATCTGGCTGAGGTATACAGACCTGGGAGGCACTGCCAAACAGCAAGTGCAGACAGTTATGTCTAAACTTACCTTTACTGATTTTACTATTTAGAGGTTAACATGCATTACTTATTGGCTGTAGTTACATATTTCTAGTGAGTATTTGGCTTACCTATGGCTATTTTTTCCTAAAACAGTTTAGAAATTAAGTTATGAAAGTTTGGTTTCATGCTAATTTTTCTACACCTGTATGTCTGTTTCTGCTTCTGAAATAGCCATTAGAAAAAGTTTTATTTTGTGTCATTATAGGAAAAATTATAACTTCAGCAATCTGAGGCACAATCGTAAATAAAAGTATATCTTAGGTGCTATGGTTTAGTATAGAAAAATACTGTTTTCTTTAAAAGAGCTGCAAAAGAAATGTACAACTTCAGAAGATTGCTAAGCCAGGCAGGGTGGTGCACTCCTGTAATCCCAGCACTCAGGAGACTGAAGCTGGAAGATTACAGTGAGTTTGAGCCAGACTAGGCTGTATTGTGAGTTCAAGGCCACCCCAAACTACACAGTGAGACCTTGTCTGAAATAAATAAAATAGAAGTAAAAGATTTGTTAAAGTGTTTGCCAGGATTTGTTGTTACAACAGCAAACCCGGCTCTGGTCGTCGGCTTCCCATCACTGTGATCGCATACCTGGCACACACGATCAGCAAACCTGGCACACATGATCAGTCCCGGTCGTCAGCTTCCCATCACTGTGATCGCATACCTGGCACACACGATCAGCAAACCCAGCCCTGGTCGTCGGCTTCCCATCACTGTGATCGCATACCTGGCACACCCAATTTAAAGGAGAGAAGGGTCGTGGTGGCTCAGGACTTAAGGTGTTGCAGTCCATGGTTAGCTGGCTCCTCTGCATTAGGCCTGTGGCAAGGCAAATGTCATAGTAAAGTGTCTGACCTTGTTGCAGGAAGCAGAAAGACAGAAAGGAACAGGGGGAAAGAGTGTACCTCCCCAGTAACTCACTTCCTCCAGTTGGACCCACTCCTGACAGCCTCAGCAAGGGACTTATCACTGGGTTAATCCACCTTGATTTAGTCCCCCTTCACATACCAGGCCCCACCTCCAAACGTTGCTTCCTTGGAGATCAGTCCCTCTGTACCTGAGTCTTAAGCCATTACACCAACTCAGATGGCCTTAAACAGGTAAATACATAATTTTTTTTTACTACTGGGGATTGAACCCAGAACCTTGCATATGGTAAGCAAATGCTGTACCATGAAGCTACATCCTCAGTCTTATAATATAAGAGATATTTTTAAGGCAGTTTGGTCAGGAAACACATAGCACTGACTTAGTGCTTGCTCTGAGCCAGGCCTGGTCCCTCACAGACAACAATATTTAATTTTTACATTTACCTTAAAGAGGTGAACAACTCCTTTAAGCATTTTTATTCATATTGAAATTAGGTGTCCAGTGGTTTTTATATATAGTAGCACCAGATTATTAGTGTTAATGTGATGAGAGCAAACTAAATTATTTCATTGGGAGCTACCATACAACAGTAGAAAGAAATTTGTGTAGAAACATGGAATGGGTTCATGGATGTCCTACTGTTCTCTACACTTTTATATATGTTTGAAACATGTATCTAAAAAGAAATTCAATGAAATGTCTTAGTTCTTCAATGTTAAATCTATAGTGAAGTTATGTGAGGAATGAATGAAAAATTATGTAGGACATTATTAAATGTAGCTAGAAATTTACTTTGTGTTCTGAGAATAAATTCTATCTCCAGCCTTAGCAGTATTGCAGCTGAAATACGAAATACATGCCTGTAATTCTAGTACTCTGAGAGGCAGAGGCATGGCAAGTTCAAACCTGTCTCAAAATTTTAAAGAAGAGGCTGACTGGGGATATAGCTTAGTGTGAAGGCCTTGGGTTCAATCCCCAGTACAGAAAGAAGAAAATAAATGCTGGCTTTAAATACTGTTTTGGAGAATTTAGATAACTACAGTATTCTGTAAATGGATATCATGTTTGTGGTATGTTTGTTGTTAAAGCAGATAGCAAGTATTGATGTCTGTTTTTTTGTTTTTTATTTTCACTTCCCAACTAACAGTGGCTTGTCTGATACTATCATTTTGGATATAATATCAAACTATCTGGTGCTTCCCAATCGAATCACTGTTCCTCTCGTCAGTGAAGTTCAAATAGCTCAGTTGCGGTTTCCTATACCAAAGGTAAGTGTGCTGTAGCGTCTACTGATACTGGAAAGCATACTGAATATGTATGTTTCAACTCCGTGGTCATTCTGCAGGGTACTGTAACAGCTTGTGTTTCTCCTGACAGCATCTCAGTGCAGTAGTGACCATCCTGCTGCCCTGCTCCAGAGGTGTGCTCATGCCTCTGCTGCACAGGGTGTTAGAGAGCCTCAGCCGTGTTCCTCTAGGTTTTGGTAGCTCTGATTGTGCAAATGCTGTTTCAGGTTGTAATGGTGTCTGTGAGCAGACAGCCTCGTTCATTTCAGAAGGTACTTACTGCTTGTGTCGTTATTAAAATGTGGCCACTCTTAGCAAGAAGCCAGGTAAGACTGCTGACATGATGAGAATTTTGATAGGATAATTTATGTAAGTCTCTCTCAGACTCTGGAATGTGGTCACCTCTGGAGTCATTTAACAAGGAAAGTGACAGAGCAGGCACTCATAAAACTGGGCCTCAGCTTCCGCATCTGTAAGTTTGCAGATGTTGGAGTCCCTCCCTGGGTGCCCAGCCTGTAAGGGCTTGCCACCGGGAGGAGCTGCCTCTGGCCACAGTGGGGCCTGGTGCAGGTGGGTGTCACCACTGGGTCCTGCATCTGTGAGTCTGTCTGTACCTTGGCTGCCAGCAAGGGACTGTGGAAGCATGCTGAAATGGGATCTAAGTCGGTGCTGTTTCAGCAGGTGTGCTGTCTTTATTTTTATTTCTTGGAGTGGAGATAGCTCTTCCCTGAAGCCTTTTACTTTTTATGATTAAATTAAGTCTCAGTACACAAATCAACAAACACACATAAGCTACATCTTCACATTTTTTAAAGAATAACACATCTAGTTAATTTGATGCCCAAATTAATTATTGTTGGCATTAGACAAATTTGATATGATACTGCCTTTTAGAAGAGTATGTCTTTTTTCCTTAACTCAGGAGTCTCATCCTGAGGATGCAGGGCTACTCTCACGGTAGGAATCTTCATACCTGTTTGTCAGGAGGGCCTTTTGTGTCCTGAGTACAGTGAGCACTGGCTTCAGCCACCTGTAACTCTGGGGATTTAAAAGCCCATGTTGTTGAAAGAGACAGCCAGATATCTAAGCTTTACTTAACACAAAAATATAAACAAGAACACTTTTTTTAATTTAGTACTGAGAACTGAACCTAGGCTCTTCACATTGAGTTATATCCCCAGCCCTTTTAAAAACTTGTTTTCCCAGACAAGGTTTTGCTGAGTTGCTAGGTTGCTTGGCTGGGCTCAAATTTGAGATCCTCCTGCATCAGCCAGCTTCCTTAAGTCCTAGGATAACAGACATGGCCTTATTTATTTTTGTGGTGCTAGGGATTGGATCTGTGGCTTTATGCATGCTAGGTAACCATTCTACCATGGAGCAGTATCCCCAGGTGTCTCTGTCTCTCTCTGTCTCTCTGTCTCTCTGTCTCTCTCTGTCTCTCTCTCTCTCTCTGTGTGTGTGTGTGTGTCTCTCTGTCTCTCTCTCTCTCTCTCTCTCTCTCTCTCTCTCTCTCTCTCACACACACACACACACACACACACACACACACACACTCTACAAATAATTTCGAGACAAGTTCTCAAGACATTGCCCGGGATCGCCTCAAATTTGTAATCCTCCTGTCCCAGAGTCCCATGTTGCTGAGATTACAAGTGTGATCCAGTATACTCAGTTTTAATGTTTAAGTATATTTACCTATAGGGATGCTTGTCTTCCTGTGCTAATTTTTTAAGTTTGAGGGGGTAGAATGTTACCCTCCTAAACTCTACCACCTTTGTTTGCTTTGAGAGAAGTAGAAGTGAATTTTCTTTTGAGAAAAAGGACTGTGTTTAAATTGATGAGTAATACATGCCTCAGTTTTTTCTTCTGTAAAACACTATGTCATAGAAGTGTTCCAAAAATCAGTGCCCTGTGCAGTAACTGCATGTCAGGCACTTAGCAGCAGGGATCACATGTCACATCAAGTGAGTTACCACTGGTGAGGACCAGACTGTGGGACTGTTTGGACAGACACACAGACTGTGTCATCGGCTTCCTGGAGCTGAGCGCACTGCCACGCTAGGGCCTCTGTGCCCAGTGTTCCACGTGTCACGGGCTCTGGCGGTATCACATGGCTCGTTCCTTGCCTGTCCCCTGCTGTGGGCTCCCTGGGCATCTCCGTGGCTGCCTGTGTCTCTGCTGAGGTGTCTGTCCTCCTGTCTGGCCAGCATCACACAGATGCTGTGGGCGTTCCTTAGCACTTGTCTCCTGACCTGTCACACTGTTACTGTCCCTGCTGGGACACATGCTGCTTAGGAGGAAGGTCTTTGTTTTATTTCCTTAACACCCCAGTTCTTAGGACAGGGTTGGGTAACAGCCATCTCCCGTCTTCCATAAACGAGCCTTTGAATGGTCTAAATATTTGCCCTTCTTTCAGGGTGTTCTGAGGATACATTTCATTGAAGCTCAGGATCTTCAGGGTAAAGATACTTACCTCAAGGGCCTGGTCAAGGGAAAGTCAGACCCCTATGGAATTATCCGTGTGGGCAACCAAATCTTCCAAAGTAAGGTCATCAAAGAGAACCTCAGTCCCAAGTGGAACGAAGTGTATGAGGTAGGTGGGTCACTGAGTGGCAATGTCAGCATCTGGTTCCAGGCCTGTGCCACAGGAGTGCTGTGGATTTAGGCCATCATTTAAATCTTCTTTCCTTTAATTTTCATCTTTTAAAAGATAACTGTGCCTTCTCTCTCTACCATATAACATTGTCATATGAACACATGAGATTTATAAACCTTAGTTACACATGGCAGTCAAGATGAATAGTTAGGAAAATATGTTTCATAACATGAATAGCCTTTCTTTTGCTAATTATGAAGTGTTCTGTGTGGTCGTTAACCCAGAGACACATGCAGAACTGAGACTGCACTCCTTTGTGCACTTTACATTTACTGTGCATCCGTACACGTCAGTGAGCGGAGACCCGCGGGATGTGTGATGACCTCCCTACTGAAGAGACCTGCTGGGGAGGCCCGCTACTCAGTGCAGCATGCGCAGTGCCGTGCAGGAGTGATACAAATGTGTTTCTCTTCACCTGGCCAGTTTTCCCTATACATAGCTCCTCAGCATGAAATCACTGGATCAAAATGCATGGGCTTTTTTCTTTTTTTTAGATCGCTTTCTTTACTTTAGTATATGTTTGTATTACATAATGTTTACATTGCTTGTGGGGAGTCTGTACGTGTACCCAACACATGCCTAATTATTTTGAGAAGACGATTTGAGAAGATACCCAGAAGGGGAATAGCTGGGTCAAATAAAATTTCTAATTGTAGTCTTTAAAGGAATCTTCACACTGAATTCTGTAGTGGTTATTGCAGTTTATATTCCTACCAACAGTGTCAAAAGGTTCCTTTTTCCAAGGCACGGGCTTTTACAAGACACGATTGTCCTGCAGAACAGTAGTGCACTGCATGGCCCCTCAGCTCCTATCTTCCGTTCTTGTTCAGGCTGTGGGTAATGTCTCTGGCCTGGTTTGGACGGGATTGTCCTTGACCCATTGAGATGTAATTCAGATGCCTGGTTCCTATATGGCAGGTATTTCAAGTAGCCAGTTATTGAGTGTAATTTGACAATAAAAATTTTAAGTGGTTTTAAATTGTTTATTACTAGGGAAAAATACATATGAAAGAAGTACATATGTTTGCTGTAACATTATACTTAATAGATGATTGTATCAGTAAAAATATAGTAACTGTTTATCTCTGATTTTTTTTCCAGGCTTTAGTCTATGAGCACCCTGGACAAGAGTTGGAAATTGAGCTTTTTGATGAAGATCCAGACAAAGACGACTTCTTAGGAAGGTGAAAAGCACCCTCGTGCGCTGGGAAAGCACAGGAGCACTTTGCTGTTGGTCACACTAGCAAATACAAGTTTAAAAATGTGTTTACTTATGTGTGTACATTTTAAAACAGCTCTTGGATATAACATTCGTTTCACTTGGATTCTTAAGACATTTTTATTGCTAAAACATCATACTAAAGAAAAGACAAGTTTCCAGCTTCCCCCTACGCAGGGGCTTCACATTAAGTCATTACAGTCAGTCCCGCTCAGCCGTGCAGTTGCTGTGTGCAGGGCCTACCCCTGGTGCAGGGAGTTCACAGACACACCCTTCTAGATTGTAAAAGTTTTAAAGCTTTTTCAGTTTGTTGGGATATAGTCATTTACATCGTGCACATTGGGAAAATAAACATGGATTTGTTTACATCAGTTAGACAACTAATACAGCTGGTGAAAATGAGCTTTGAAAAGTACACCTCAACCTAATCTTTATTATTTAACTGAATTTACTGTGGTAAAAAGAACATAAGAAAGCATGACTTTGCAGAGGTTTGTGCCTCATCCAGAGTAACGTTACGTGTTTTAACTGCAAAGTCCATGACTGTGTAAATGCAGCAGCACCACTAGGAGCAGTTTGAACAGGGTGAGGGCAGATCAACATGCATTGTAACATAACCAGCAGGTGGCTTGCAGGCTGCAGGCCAGCTGGGGCCTGATAACCTGTGAGCCAACAAGATCCAGGTAGCTGGGCAGAGTGCAGGATACGCTGAAGAAAAACACAGGTATGACCTATCATAGTGGAGCCGGTGCCATCCTCTGACTTAGAGTGGGATTGTTCAGAACTGGAGCAGGCAGTTTCTCTTGGACATTCCAGTGTGACGCTTGAGCAAGGCTGCAGAGGGGATCAGAGTCCTGATTCAGATGTGGTAACTTGAGTCCACAGTGGTGAGTGGCAATACCGAGGAGAATGTGGAAGATAAGGGCTGAAATATTTTTAAACATTTCTGGTGTGAAATTCACTGTGAAGAAGACTCATTTATTATAGCTCTGACTTCAGCTGGGCCAAAGTGGGTATTCTGATATCACAGAAACCCAGCCCTGCTCTTGTTTCTGCTTCTCCTGACACTTGCACCTCAGCTGGAGGGACCTTTAGGGAAAACATCCTATTTTCTTATAAATTATGTAGCATTTTGTTGCTTTCTAGAGTACTTTTTTTTTCAGTTGTAAGAAGTGAGTGTGTTCTGAACTTTCTGTGTTATTCCTGTAGTCTTATGATTGATCTCACCGAGGTTGAAAAGGAGCGCCTTTTAGATGAAGTAAGTTCTGAGTTTGATTTATTTAACAAACATTGTCTGAGTGCCTACTGTGCCACCAAAGGAGTTGACAATTACTACTGCCACCCACCCACCCAGTGCAGGGGTCCTAGCTAGTACTATAAGGACAGCATTTTCTTCACAAATATTAAGAAGAGTATAGGCCTTTAATAATAGAGTAAAGAGAAATTTAGGAGTCCTTGCTACTCTATGCGAGCAATTCTGGTCATGAGAAGGATGTTACTGCAGACTGTGTGCCCCCTACAGGAAGGAGGTACATACAGGCTGTGAGGGGCCCACTCAGGGCAGTTTCCATGGCAGCTGGAGTTCATAGCAGAGATGGCATAGTGCAGTCAGATTCTAAAAGGTGTCTGTAAATACTGTGGGGATTTATACAAGAAGAAATCCCCCCATTGAGGGATATTGCTATCAGAGTAAAACAAAAAGCAAAATTTACAAAGGCTTCTAAAAGACAGGTAAGATTTAAGAAAGGGAAGCCTAACTAGCCTAGTCACGGAGGACGCTGCTGCTGCCAGAGCTGTGTGCTCTGTGCTCGGCACCCATGTGACAAGGGTTTCTTGTGCATCTGCTGGGTGCCAGGCACTGGGCACAACATTGGGCAGACTAGATAAAGCCTGGCTCATGGTCTTTCCCTTTCCACCAGTGTTTGGGTGCTTGGGAACCTCCTTTATTGTTTTGTGCTTTTCAAACCGCAGCTACCTTGTGTTACTTTACTAACTGGCGTATACTGATGACTGAAACAAATGTGTAAACTTGTTCAGTACTGATATTGTGTGTAGGGATCAGTGTTTCATAACTCAGCCTCTAAGTCCCATGTGCATCCTTTTGCAGAAGGCTTTCCCAGTGCTGGACTGCACTGGAACCTTGGAATCCTGTATTCAGAGGGCGAGGTTTACACTCACTACTTCTCCAGGACTTTGTTCATCTCAGTGCACTGCATGCAGAGCCTAAGAGCGCTCTCTGGCCAGCCCTCCCTGTCATGACGCAACATTTCACAGGCATACAGAGTATAGAGCTCATGTGGCTTGTGCATTCTAGGCAGTGCTGAGAACTTCTCGCTGCCTTGCAGTCAGTGAGAACTTACAGTGTCTATAGAGAAGAGGCTTAATGTGAAGTTTTGATTTAGGAGAATTTCTGAGTTTCTACACTTTCTCTTCAGTGGTTCACCCTGGATGAGGTTCCCAGAGGAAAGCTGCATCTGAAGCTAGAGTGGCTCTCCCTGCTGCCGGATGCCTCACACCTAGACAAGGTGCGCAGTGTCTGCTTACAGAGACCAACCCTCCTGACCACAGGGATCTTGCATTGTGTTGCTACTTGATTTTTTAAAATTATACCTTTAATTTTTATTACTGTACTGTAAGTCACTTAGTGTCATATCTGGATAAATTAAAAATAATAGGTTATGTCCATCCCCCCTGCACCCCATGCTGGAGATTGCATCTAGATCCTCCATATTGAGCTATATCCCCAGCCCTTTTAGTTTTGATATTTTATTTTGAGACAAGGTCTCACTGAGTTGCCTAGGCTGGTCTCAAACTTGTGATCCAATTACCTCAGCCTCCCAGAACGCTGTAATTACAGGTGTACACCACTATCCCTAGGTATCATAATGGAATTTTTTAAAAAATGAAATATAGAAGTCATTATACCAGTTTTATTAGATCTTCAGATTTTATGCTTGTTCAGTATGGGATTTGAAGAGCCATAAGTCACCTGAGTGCTCCCTTTCACTGATTTGTAGTACTCCTGTCATCTAAAAGACATGTATTTTTTGTTTGTTTTTTTTTTCCCCCGTACCAGGAATCGAACTCACCACCTTGCGCTTGCCAGGCAGGCGCTGTGCCACTGAGCTAAATCCCCAGCCCCTAAAACACATTTACTGTTTCAGTTTTAGTCTTTTTTGTGAGTTGGACGATTCATTCATTAACTTACTTGTTCCTTGAACATAGTGGAAATAATGGAGTCAGACAAAAACAGTGTACCATCACATGGACACATGCCCACTAAGGCTTTTTCCTTCCTTAGGTGCTGATGGACATCAGAGCTGACAAAGATCAAGCCAATGATGGTCTTTCTTCTGCACTGCTGATCTTGTACTTGGATTCAGCAAGGAATCTTCCGGTAGGTAACACAATGCGAGGTCATTTCCCTGGCAGAGACCTGGTTTGGTAACCACTGCTCTGTTCAGTCTCCGTGAGTCATCTAGATGGGTCTTGTCTGCCGTGTTTACACTGCACTTTGGGTGCAAGCGCAGCAGCAGAAAGATACAAGTCAGCACTTGCTTTGTGTATGATGTTTATCTTGTTATTAAAATTTAGTTGCCTAAAGATGGCAATTTTCTCTACTTGGAATGAGAATAAAGTGAAGCAGTTCTGATTACAAACTGTAGCTAGGAGGTGGCTGGTTGCTGCATGAGCTGCTGTGTCTGGCAATCCCTGTGGTGTCAGGTGCCACTGAACAAGTATGCCAGGCCTTCAGGTGTCAGAGTGTTCTAGCAGAACAAAAAGACAGTAGATAAGTAATCCAGTGTCAAACAAAATGACATTTTTCAGCCTAAAAGTGTATGCTTTTGTTTGTTTGCTTGCATCAAGATTGTTTTGCTCTTAGGAAGAGAATTATAAAGTACAGTTTTGTAGGTAATAGCTACAACCTTTGAGAAGGAAAATCTGTTGTTTTTATCATGCCAGCATGGTGTGATCTTCTACTGTGGTACTTTAAACCCCCTCTGTATGGCAATGTTGTCATCACTATGTTACACTGTTTGATAATTTTTTGAATGCTCATTTTCTTGTTCATCGAGTAATGATTCTTTATTTCACTGTGTTAATGGCCACTTTTGTTGAAAGAAAGAGTACTGCTACTAAGACAGGCATGGTGGTGCATGCCTATATCCCAGTACTAGAGGGGCTGAGACAGGAGGATTGCTGTGAGTTCAAGGCCGTCTTGGGTCACATAGTGAGTTCAAGGCCATCCTGAACTAGCCTAGTGAGACCCTCTCCGCAAAAACAAAAAATTATATATATATAAACAATACTGCTACCAGTACCGGGTTCTGTCCTGAAGATGATCATTGCATAATTCTTCTTCAGTGTGCATGTCAATTCACGTAAGTGCATTTGTGAGTGAATAATGTCTCCAAACAAGAAAGCTATGACTCACTTTGCCTTTTTCAGTGCTGCATATTAGTCTTGAATGATAATTATTTCATACATTATAGTTCTGCTTACCATGGATAAATCATTTCTTTATGAGTCACGAAATTGTTTCATTTGGCACCTTTTTAAGTTTTGAAAATTATTGACTTATTTGAGTTTTGCTCCAGAATGAAATAACCGTACTTTGTGCATCAATAAATTTTACTTAAATCTAATTAAAATATGACTGATCTTTTTTTTTTCATACTGGGAGGATATAATTAAACTTTTTGTTTATGTAATTGCCTATAATTGTATTCTTTCCTTCAATAAAGGCTTCTTGACTTATTTTAACTTCTTAAATTCTTATATTTCTCTTAAAGAGTTTACCTTAACCTTTGGCCTGTCTTTTAATCTAAATTCTTTATCTGCTGTAATTTCAAATTGGGAAAAGTTAACTAATTATTGAACCTTTCTACAGAATTTCTTGTATAGTAGGAGTTTCTGTTTTTGATCATAGTAATATTTGTTTCAAAATGTAATACTATGATGTTTTATAGTGCCTGATGGGGGTGAATTTATTGTCTGTTTTAGGATATAGAGAATAAAGTTGGTAAACTTGCAGGACAAGAGGTGGCAATATCTTATACTGAACTGAAAGTTGAGGGACCCCACGTAGCAATAAGAAGCACAGTGAATGTACTGACCCTCTGTCATAAGGGCACTTTGTGCATGAAGTGTGCTGTGGCCGTCAGAGGCAAAGGGTCCGGCAGAGCCGCTGCCCTGATGGGTGTCTCAGTCCCTGTCAGCCCTGCGCCAGGATCCTTTGACTCTGCACCCGATTTCCTGTGCTTTGGTGCGTGCGCATTGACCACAACCCACCATTCTTTGCTTTCTCCTCCCATGTCCACTTTTAAGAGTATCTACGAGGGAAACTTTGGGTGTGGCTACTTAAAAGAGAGGCGAGCGTCGGGACTAGTGTTTTGTGAAAATACTACCTCAGTCTATAGAGCACTATTTGTGAGTCCTCCAGCATTCCTTCTTTTCTTGGGTGGAAACTGCGAGAGTGTGGCCTGGAACTTGTGTGCAGCCTGCCCCTGTGGAATGGTGTGCATGCTGTGCGCCTTTTCTTGCATGGGCTCAGTTACACGTGTTCACTCCGTGCCGGTTTTGTAAACTGTAGCACTGCTTTAACATTGGCGAGTGCATCTGACCTGAGGTGAACTAACTTGTTTCCTCAGCTGCTGCAGGCCCGGAAAAAAGTAAAATTCCTCTGAGGAAGAAAATAAAGCATAATGTTAACATTGATTTTCCTGTAGTTCATCTCAACGTGAGATGTAAATATCTTCATGTTAGCTTTCTTTTTTTTTTTTTTTTTTTTTTGGTACCGGGAATCAAACTCACGACCTCAGGCTTGCCAAGCAAGCACTTATGCCGCTGAGCTATATCCCCAGCTCTGTTAGCTTTCACAAAACTTTCCTGAGTCTACATTTTCCTCCTGACCAAGCATAGCAGTGTTCGCACTCGCTTTCTTTGAGCCTGTGCTACCCAGTGTCCTCACAGTCATGGGAGGACAGGAGTCACCAGCCTGGTGAGAGCCTGCCTTCTCCAAGATGGCCTAATCTGGGACCCGAGAGCAGCTGAAACCACCCTGCATTTGTGATCCAGCTTGCTTCAGTAAACTTCACTTCCTGGAGTAGATCGTGAGCACTTTTGATTCTGATTTCATGAGGAACATGTTTTGTTCCCCATGGCCATGTCTAGGATCTTAACTCCTGGACCTATGCTGGGCATTCTCGGTGGGTGACTAGTCTCACTCGCTGTGGCGTTCTAGGAACCCTAGACTTACTCATTAGTCTAGAAAGTTGCTCTTCAGATTTAATTCAGTAACTGCTAAGATTCTCGAAGTCCCTTGCCCCTTGAATGTACCAGTGATGGTGCTCTGCAGTTTTGGGCTTTTCTTCCCCTCTTCCTTTTTTTGTTTTTGTTTTTTTAGTTTGTTTGTTTTTGTTTTTTGAGGCAGGGTCTCACTGTATAGTGCAGGCTGGCCTTGAACTCACTATGTAGCCCAGGCTGGCTTTGAACTTGCAGCATTCCAACTGCCTTGACCTCCCAAGTGCTGGGATTATAGGTGTGTGCCACCACACTCAGCAATTTTGGAGTTTTCATTTCTATTTCTAGAGGCTTTCTACAAGCATTCTCAGTCTATTTATATAATATTTCTTTAAAAAGGGAATGGAATAGGTGCTTTGCTGCATTTTAGAGATGAGGAGGATCAAGACCCAGGAGGGTAGTTGAATTGTCAGTCACACAGCTAGTGAGTGGGAACCAGGCCTCCCAGATTCTGTGTCCTTGCACTTGTTTAAGGAAGGCAGTAGTGTGTAATACAACATATCCTAACGTTTTTTAAGAGAACGATTTTCTACTTCTAGTGATCTTAATGGAAAATGTCATCATAAACTAGTATAATTGACAAGATAGCTCTGCTGTGTAAATTCTGTTAGTCTCTCCCTAGTAGCTCTTCTAAATCACATTCTCCATTCTACAGCTGCTTCCTTTGGGAAAAAGAAATAGTTCTGACCTTGTGTCAGATTTTCAAATTACTTTGATGTATGTTGCGTATGATATTGTTAGGTTCTCAAAACTAACTTTCCTCCTGCATTGTCAAAAATCACACTGCACTTTATGACTGAAATGTGTGAACCACAAAAGTGTTCTGCGAAATAGACACAGGCACTTCCTTGTCACCTACCAGTTCCCAATGTGAAGTCAGATCCGTCTTCTCAGCCCTCCCTGGCAGGTGAAGGCGTGGATGCACCAGTGAAGTTCTAGGTGGCTGCCTGCCCGGGACTGTCTGCTTTCCACCTGCATAGACACCGTCAGTTTCTCCACGCAGATCTCCAAGTGAAAAAGCAAAACAGCAGGACTTTCTCCTGTACTTAGAAATGACTTCTTTAGAATGTGGATGCTTAGATCTTTGCCCTCATCCCTCTTTTGATCAAGTCTATACTTGACCTTAGACATGAACAGTGGAGATGTTCTCTGGCTGTGATGGTAGTATTAGAACCTTGGACTTGCGTAGTAACGCATGTTGACAAAGCACTTTCCAGGCAGGGCTCCGAAGTCCCTACACATGCACCTCACTGAATCATCCAGACCGTGAGATGAGAACAACACAGAGCACACAGTGGCTGGGATTAGAGAGTCAGCCGCAGGGTCAGTGAATAGCAGAGCTGTCGCCTTACCAAGTTCACAGGTTCCTAATGCTATATGTGGAATTCATCTGTGAGGAGAGGTATTTGTAGTACCTACCTTAGAGATAAAAATGCAGCTGTGTGATAGATACTACTGTGCAGACCCTTCAGGATGAGGGTGCTTTGTGCAAGTTCCTTTGGCTGTCATGTAAACAAAAAAGAGCAGATGCTGTTGCTGCCCCATTGAAGGCAGAGGCCAGGGTGCAGGGTGCCTGCCTTCTGAGTGTCTCGCCTGGACATGAGCCCGAAGCATTTCAGGATCCAGGTCTCTCTCATCCCAGGCTGTGCAGCTCTCTGGCCTCACATGGCTCCCTACACACACCTGTCCCTGCACTATACTGCCCTCCTTGTTTGGCTGTGTTTGATGCATGTTAGAATAACAAGCACATTTGGCTCAGCTGTACCTGCCCAGGGTGAACTTCAGGAAGAGGCCGCTGTGATGCCTGACCCTTGAGGGCAACGGCTCCTGGGCCAGAGGTGTGCAGCATGTAAGACCTCCAGGTGTGGTACTGCTTTGGAGGATTATTCAGCAAAAGATAATAAATAAATAGAGCCCTTTCCTAAAGTGTCACTTCTGCATTTTTCAGCTCCCAAAGGTTAAGGGTGGCGGGGAGAAGAGGGTTATTGAGCATAAGGAAGTGTGCTTTGATGTTTCTAGATTAAAGTTTTGCTCTAAGATAAGATCTTGAGCATAAAGAAGAGTTTAATGGTTGCTTGTGTAATTCTTAGAAATTTTAATTTTGGGGTTGTTCCTACGAGTTTTCATGTCATTAACCTTACATAAACTCCTCACTGCATGTTCTTTAACCCTTGGTGTATTCATTGTCTTCTGACCCGAAAGAGTAACCCGTTAGACTTTAACCCCGGTGTCCTGAAGAAGGCTGCGGTTCAGAGAGCGTTAAAGGTAAACGCAGTGCTCCCTCAAGGTCGCAGTGTCAGTCGAGACGTATTGCAAGAGATGGTGTCTAACCTCACACCCGTGGCAGGCCCCTCCCACCTGACACAGTAACTGTTTGGTGGGAGACATCCTACTTGTTTATCCAATTGGTAGACTGTACATCAACTCTAAAGGTAAATCTTGTAAAGTTGATAAATCCTCTTGGCCTCAGTTTAAATGTCTGCATTTTATTTGGATTTGAATTTGTGCAATGGTGATCTGTGATTTAGAGTTACATCTTCTAAGTTGTGAATACGCATGTAAGAAATCACCTCTTCCAATATGTCTAGTAGCGGCCTCTCTGAGTCAGCCTCACAGCTTTGGCGCTTCCGGTTCGGGTGATGGATCATTCCAGAACTTTAAATCTGATTAAATGAGGTATATTGAAAACTCAGCTCCACTTCCTAAAACATAGCATTAGTGGGCATTCTCTGGTTAAATTGTCAAGAGTTTTCTATGACTTATAAGGTCTTGTTATAATTTTTTCTCTAATTTCTCTGAACATTTTAGGGTTAAATATTTGGGGGAAGGGATTTTAAATGTAATTCTGTTAAGAAAATTCCCAGCGAAACAAACAGGAATGTTTTTAACTAGTATCCCCTAGAACAATGAAGGAAGCTGGGGAAGGACGGCTTCCTCCTGTGCTGTGTCTGCCCTGACTGTTGTCCAGTCTGCGGCCATGCCTGTGAGCGCTTGTCAGCAGGCACAAAGCCCGTACCTGCGCTGCCCAAGCCAGAGGATTTTACTAGCGCTCAGCCCTCACCAACCTTCACGCTCTGACAGCTGCCAGTGCAGAGCAGCGTCAGGAAGGAAGGCTCTGCAGTCAGACCACTCAGCTGAATGCTCCTTTGAACGCTTAACTTAGTCTGTTCTTTTTTATAGAGTGGAAATCCTATCTTTTCTATGGGATTACTGAGCAAATTAAAATAAAAGTGCTTTAGGCAGGAAAATAATTGTCACATCACTACACTGGTTCATTGAAGCCTGACACTGAGATTCTGGAAATTACATTGTGCCCCTTTTACAGACATGCAAATGCAAGTGCAGATGACAAAACATGGAGGTCCCCGTTATGGAGAGGTAAAGAGCTGAGACTTAAATTCAAGACGACCTGACTTAAAAGTTTCTGTTTTCACTGTAATTTGTGCCTTTGACTTGTGCAGATGCATTTTGAACCTTATGTCGTGGTAGGAAATTTGGTGATTTAACCTGCCTTCATGTAACCTATAAGTCAGCCGTTTTAAGATAGACCATTATTTTCTGTACCACTAAGACAGACTGTAAAGCCAGATATGGTGGCGCATGCCTGTAGTCCCAACATGTTGGGAATCTGAGACAGGAGGATCACAAGTTCAAGGCCATCCAGAGCAATTTAGTGACATAATGAGGCACTACCTCAAAATAAAAAATTAAAAGTAGGTGCTGGGGGGCAGGGCAGGCTGAAGATGTAGCTCAGGGCAAAAGCCCTGGATTCCAGTCCCTGGTACCACAAAGGGGAAAAAAAGGAAAGCGAGAAAGATTATAAAACGCCAGTTAAATTTTGATACTGTTTACTTAATATTTACTGAGAAAAATTTTAGAGTTAAGATGAACATAGATTTTTTTTTTTACCTTGTCATGTACATATATATACATAAAGGAAAAATACAAGCACAATAAAACGGTTAAAATAATGAGAACTCACTACTGCAGAATGCCCAAAACCAGATGTATATTTACAGTTACAGTGGCTGAAGCAAGACAGGTGGCCATGGCTGTTGGCTCTGCAGTACTGTCTGTGTCACTCCCACCTTGGACAGGAGCAGGAGCCCTCCTTCGAGGCCAGAATTAGTTACTCTGTGCTGACTACAGGGGGATTGTGGTAGTAGGGAAACTTCATTCACAGAGGACTTACGCTCAGCTACACCTTGGGGATTCCAGCATCAAAGGAAGAGAGAGAAAATGAATTCAAGGGAGAACATTAGTGTTTTTTGCCACAGTCGTCTATGGCCTTGGGTATTCTTTAACAGTATTTATTTCATTTTGCAGAATTCATTCACATCAAAAAAGATGAACCAGAAATAGATTATCACAGTAGGTTTGGGCTAGTAATATTTTTCCAATAGTCATATGATTTTGACACCTATTTCTGTCATTGCTGCAGTGTTGAGGATTGACTCTAAAATTACTTAACTAAAAAAAAAAAAAATCTGTGATTTTCTAATTAATTTCCACTAACAGATTTTTAATACACCTTCTTGTGGGGCTAAGTTGTAAATAAACCTCATGTCACATATCTGTTGTGTTTTATTATGTTTTCTTCTATCAGCTATTTGTGCTAAAGAATGCTTCTTGCTATTTATTCCTATTCTGAAATTTTCCTTTTTATTGGCTTAATTTAATGCAATTCCAAACAGAAGTCTATTCTTCTAGTCAAAATTATTTAGCAGCTGTTAAGCAAGATCTGATGTCTGATAGCTGCTTATGTTTGAAAGGAGAGTGCTAGATTAAAAATGCAAACCATTCATCAGAAACTTTATAGTGTTTTATTACTCCAGCTTGAGAAGTATTCTGAATTACTGTTCTTTTACCTTTGTCTTTTCCCGTGTTTTTTGGTTTCCATTTACTACACTTTGTACATTTTGTTATTTTAGTAAATAAACTCTGAAAACTATAAGTAACATTAAAGAATTTTGAAACATTCCATTTTCCCAAAGTAACTTCCTTAAAAACAACACAGTATAACTTTTAAAAATGGAATGCAAGCTGGGCATGCTGGTGCATGCCTGTAATCCTAGCACTCTAGGAGGCTGAGGCAGGAGGATGGCAAATTTGAGCCCATCCTACCAATTTAGCTAGCAAGGCTCTGACTCAAAATAAAGAAATTTTAAAAGGGCTGAGTTACACTCTCAGTGTAACTCAGTTCACAAGCCTTTGGCTCAATCCCAAGCACTGAAAAACAAAACATGTAGCTTAGCACAGTGGTAACATGCCTGTAGTTCTGCCTACTTGGGAGGCTGAGAGGCCACCCTGCGCAACAATAAGACCCCATCTTCAAAAACACCAAAAAAGTGCTGGATATGATAACGCGGGCCTGTAATCCCAGCATTTGGGAGGCTGAGCCAGGAGGGTCACTGCAAATTCAAGGCCAACCTGGACTACATAGTGAGTTCAAGGCCAGCATGAACTGCATAGCAAGGCCTTCTCTCAAAAAAAAAAAAAAAAAAAAAAGAACCAGAAAAACAAATTGTAGGCAAATAGAAGTTTGCTTAATATGTTTCATAGTAGAAAGAGTTGTGGGTCCAAGTGTGCTTAGCAATTACTTTCCAGTTAAATTGTTCCCAGATGCTCATTCTCTGTATCTGAAGTATCAGAGGTAAATAGAAGTGAGTCTTAATATCAGCCCAGAGTGTCATTTTTAGTAAGATGTGTTTCCAAAATGTACCTATTCTTATTTTATCTTTTTTGTTTGTTTTTGAATAGTCAGGGAAGAGAATAAACAGCAACCCAAATCCTCTTGTCCAAATGTCAGTTGGTCACCAGGCTCAGGAGAGTAAGGTAAGGTAATGCTGATGTTTAACTGGTTTTGTGAGATTGTCTGCACATAGGTTGTGTGGTGGATTAGGCAACAAGATCTTTGCTTTTTATGTTTTTACTTTTTTTCCCTTGAAGCAGTCATTTCATAGATAACTGGCCATTTAAGTTGTTGATACATTGTTTATTTTCTATCAGTGAAAAATAACATGCAAATATGCTTTTCCTTGATTTCATGGGTAGATAAATCCCCAAGTTTCTCTTGGGCACTGCATAAATATTGGAAGATAACTAATAGTGCACAAAATTCAACAGATGTAGCTAGCTTCAAAAATTAAGGAGCCAGACTTGGTGGCACATGCTTGAAATCCCAGCATTTTAGGAGGCTGAGGCTGGAGGATTGCAAGTTTGAGCCCAGCCTGGACAGCTCAGCTCCTTAGTGAGACCCAGTGTCAAAATTAAAACTTCCTTAAAAGCACTGGGAATGTAGTTCCCTGGGAAGGATACAGTTCAGTCCTCAGTACTCACACACAGATGATGTTGCTACTGTAGTGTGTAATGTTTTTCCTTCCTGATTCGAGAGAAAGCATTTCAGAATTGACTCAGTTACAAGCCATTGCTCATGTTTAATTGGTAGCCCTTTAAACAGGCCATGTGTGGTGGTGGCCCACGCACTGAGGCCAGTGAGCAGGTGACGTCTCTGTCACGTTACACTGGTGGGGTTTTGTGACAGCTGACTTTCCAGACACGCTTAGAAGCTTTGGACCACGTCGCCATGTTTTTGAATACCTTCCACACTTACTAATATAATGGCACATACTCAGTGAGTATGTCTTAGAGTTTAATTAAAGTTATTCTATGCTTCTGAACACTTTAAATTAGTAACTGCAACATTGGTAGCCCTTTTCTATAGAAAATGTCACAGAGCTGGTATTGGGATTTGTCTTTCAGATTCGATATAAAACCAGTGAACCGGTGTGGGAGGAAAATTTCACCTTCTTCATTCACAACCCCAAGCGCCAGGATCTCGAGGTCGAGGTATGTTGTTTGTATCTTTTTAGTGGTATGTTGAAATATAATTGTCCTACAGTAAACTATCATATTTAAAGTGTACAACCTGATGGATTATGACCTACATACACTCACCCATAGACCCACCACCACAATCAAGGTAATATATCCATCTCCAAAAAAGTCACCTCTGTATCCTTTGCCCCTCCATACACCCTTCCCAAATACACCACTGCAAATCCCTGTCCTTGTTTCCTGGAATTTTATATAAGTAGAATTACACAGCTTATTCTCTTTTTGTGTGCCCTGTTTCACATACTTATTGTGTTGTTGTAGGTATGAGTACCATGTCCTTTTTTATTACTGGGTAATATTCCATGGGATGGACAGGCCACAGATGGCTTATCCACCTGTCAGTAAAAGCTTGATAAAGGTTGGATTCTTCTTGCCTAGACCTATCCAAAATCATTCTGTTCTGAGTATTGTCTGTTTTTTATTTTTTCTTTTTTTGGTGGTTTTTTTTTTTTTTTTTCTTTCCGGTACCGGGAATGGAACTCACAACCTCGTGCTTGCCAGGCAGGCACTGTGCCGCTGAGCTAAATCCCCAGCCCTGAGTATTCAGTCTGTGTGGACATGTCCCTCCATTTTTGCTGGGCACATGCCTAGGCGCAGATTGGTAGGTGCATGCTTAGCTTCTCTGTACACTGACCAGTTGTCCCCAAAGTGGAGGTACGGCTGGACACTCCATCACAATACATGGCAGCATTGCTCTCTGCACAGCTTGCCAACATTCCAGTTAGTGGGTGGGAGGTGCAGCAGCCCCAATCCATGCTGTCACCCCTGCAGCCTCTGTTACCCATGGTCAGCCCCAGTCTGAACTGTGGGCCACATCATGACAAGAAGATGGGGTCCCGTACGGCAAGGCACAGGGGTGGGGATGACAGAGAGAGAAGCGGGGTCTTTCTGCGTGGTTCAGGCTGGCCTTACACTTTAATCTTCCTCCTCAGCCTCCTGAGTGCTGGGATTGTAGACATGTGCCACCACACCTGGCACACTGAGACTAATTTTTGAAAGCACATGAGAGACCATATTCATACTGCTTTTATTACACCATATTGTTAAAAGTTGTTCTGTTGTTTGTTTTATCTCTCACTGTGCATACTTTATAAATTACACTTCCTCGGTGGTGTGCATCCACAGGAGAGAAACGCAGCACACGTAAATGCTGTGCTATCCACTGCGTCCACTTGGCACACGTCCTCATTGGTGAGGGTGACGGCAGCATCTCCTGGTCTCACTGTGATGTCTCATGTTGTTGGGCAGCTTTGCAGCTGTTTATTCGCCATCTGTCCTCCACTATAGAGAAATAGCTTCAGTCGCCTTGCCTATTTTGGGGAATTAGGTTGTTTATCTTCTTAATACTAAATTATTTAGTAATTAATACATGTAGTAATTAATACATATAGTGTTTAATACACATTAATGCATACTAGAGACAAGTAGTTTTTGGATATATTTTCTACACTTATATCAGTCTGTGGCTTGATTTTCCGTCTTACAAATGTTTTAGAAGCCAAGCATGGACCCACACATCTGTCATCCCAACTACTCAGGAGGCTGGGACAGGAGGATCCCAAGTTCAAGACCAGCCTGGGCTCCCTGTCTCAAAACAAAAGGGCTGGGGACTGTAGCTGGGCTCCGTCCCGAGCATCACAGAAACGAGAGAAACAGCAACAGCAACAGAATGTCTTTGGAGAAGCAGAGATTTAAAGTTTGATGCAGTTCAGCTTATCACCCTTTTCTTTTCAGTTTGTCCTCTTTGTGTCCTGTTCATGAAATACTTGCCAGACCATTGGTTCTTAAGCCATTGTCCTCTCTGTCTTTTAGAGGTGATATTTCTAACTTACACTTAGGTCTATGTCCAGTGAGTTTTCCTTTATAGGATAAGTGAAGGGTCATGGTTCTTTCCTTTTTTTCTTGGATAGATAGCTATCTCGGGGTTCAGCAGTGTTTGCTGAAGAGCTGATTCTGTGCCTGTTTAATGTGCTCAGCAACCATGGGACACAGGGCCCCAGGTGAGGGCCTGCTTCTAGAGCACCTCTGCCTCGTGGTCCTGCACCTCTTGTCAGTGCCAAGCTCTCCGTCAGTGGTGCTTCGTGCACAGATCCTAGACTCAGATGATGCAAGCCTCAGGCTTTGTTTTCGTGTTTATGTCCTTGCGGTGCTGGGTACCCAGGGCCTCACTTGTGCTAGGCATATGCTCTAGCGCTAAGCTACACTCCCAGCCTTACAACCTTCCTTCCCCAGTCTCTTGAGTAGCTGGAACTTTGTTATTTTCCATAGTTGTCTTTGTTCTTCTAAGACTCCATTTCCATAGGAGTTTTAGTATCAGAGTGTCAGTTTCTGCATAAAATCTGCTAAAATTTTGATAAAAACCTCATTAAAACTAGATGAAGTAAAAAAAACAAAAAACAAAAAACAAAAACTAGATGAAGTGAGTGGAATTGCCATCTCGGCAATGTGGAATCTTTCAGTGCATAGAAACATTATATTCTTCTGCTCATACAGATACTCAGTTTCTCTCCGCAGCGTTCCATAGTCTTTAGTGTACAGTATAGATCACACACATCTGTCTGCTTATCTCTGTTTCATACTTTTTAGCAGTGTTAGAAATGGTATCTTTGTCTTTTTTTCTTTTAACTAGGATAGAAAAAGTTGATTTTTATGTGTTGATATGGTCTCAAAACCATGCTAAACTTGCTTCTTAGTTGTAGTAGCTGTTTGTAAGTGTCTTAGGACTTTCCATGGGAGCAGTCCTGCTGTCTGCTAGGGAATCTTCATTCCCATCTGGATGCCTGCGCTTAATTCTCTTGCCTGTTCACTCTGCTCAGCCTGACAGGGTGCAGGGCTGATGTGAGAAGACTGTGGCCCCTGCCTAGGTGCCTGCTGTCTGGTTGAAAAGTTTATAACCCTTCCTGTTTGTAATCATGAATGGATGTTGAATTTCACTAAAGGTGATACAGATCTTTATTTAGTTTTAAGTCTGTAACTATGATGAAATACATTGTTGGTTCTCAAATGTTAAATAAACCTTACAAACCTTTTTGCTTTTCAAGTTAGCATTTGAAAACATTGCTAGCAAACTTTATTCAGGGATAAGCCTTACTTGGCTATGATATACTGCCCTATATATATATCCAGTTTGTTAGCATTTTTTGGCTCTTAGTTATGAAGAAAACTGACTTGTAATTCTGTTTTCTTATGTGTATTTTTCTAGTTTCGTATTGGGGTAATGCTTGCATGGTGAATTGAGTATTGCCTCTTCTTGGATTTCCAGGAAGACTTGTTTACAATACTTTGTCTTAGATACTTGATAACCTGTAGTTTTCTACGTAAGGTGCTTCACATCCATCAGTATGTATATAAAGCTATAGATTTTCTATTCCTGCCTAATGGGTTTTGCTGTTTCACCATCCAAGGAATTCATTCATTTCCTACAAGTTGCTGACTTTCTGGTAGGATGACCCTGAAGCACCAGAGGGGTGCTGCTGAGAAGGCTTGCTCTCCCTGCTCACACTGCGATGTTCGTTCGTATTCTCTCTTTTCCTTCCCACTCAGTCTAGCAAGAAGTTGATTGATTGATTGATTGATTGATTTTTTTAAAGACAAGATTTCACCGTGTAGTCCAGGCTGGCCTTGAACTCATAGCCATCCACCTACATCAACCTCTCACTCCTGGGATTTAGGTGTGTGCCACCACACCCACCTAGATATAATTCTCTTTAAGGTCTTCTTTAGCTACATTTTGACTTCTTGTGGTTTTGTTTGTGCTCCTTTTGATTATTATTTCCTCAATAATTTCTTGATTTTTCTTGATTCGTGAGTTATTAAGTTAAAGACCTATTATTTCCCTTCCCAGTGTATGGGAATGTTTTAGGCCTCTGGTTCTAGTGTCAGTACATAGTATTCAGTACATACAACACTATGTACTGAAAGCCCTTTTCATTTGAGACTGCTTTTGTGGCCTAGTGTTGTCCCTCTTATACCCTCTTCTGCCCGAATGTACCCAGAAAGTGCCTCCTGCTGACAGACACATGCATGATGAGTGGTGGCAGTATTGCCCAGGTCTTCCATCTCCTCCATGTTTTCCCAACTGTCTGCTGTATCAGGGATCGAAAGCTGGGAGCTTGAATCTGTGGCCATGTCTGTGACTTCGTCTGTTTTTCCTTTCAGTATGTTTTTGCCCTATGCATCCGAAACATCTTTAAACAGTTGTAAATAGCAAGGCCCATGAGAGCTGGATAGTCCAGCTGTTGACAGCTGTGCCTTGTATCCTTATTCCAGCTTGTTGTTTTACATTTTTATGTCCTATTTTGTACAAGATCATTTTATTTTACCTAGCTAATTTTTTCTTCTTAAATTCTTTTCATTTTTCTTTTCTTTTTCTTTTTTTTTTTTTTTTGAGACAGTTCATAGAGGAAAAGAGAGAATATGAGTGAACATCACGGGTTAGTTCATATTTAGAGACAGAATCTCACTGATTAGTCCATACTGACCCTTCTTCATAAATTCTTAAAATAATCTGTACTTACTGGATCTTGAATTTCCAAAAGAACTTTTGAGGTTCTGTGAATGCCATCATGGGTGTTTCATTTAAAACTGCTTATATGATTATAGTTTTTTGTTCTGTTTTGTTTTTTAATTTTTTTTTATTTATTTTAAAGAATAAAAGAAGGATAACATAATAATAGGGGGGACTTAGCAAATTACAGACAAAATGGTAGGAAATTATCAATGGTTATCATTTTACATATTATTGTCTACAAAATAGTTTCTCAGGAAAACAAATAGACAAATAATAGTGAGTTACA